TTTTTTGGATTTGAACATCAATGTTGTGTTGAGTTGTGCTAAGAGTTGCACATTGTGGTTAATTGCAGTTCGAATTGTTTACTATTTATGTGAGAAGTGTACTTGTGATTATCCTATATAACTATAGCAAACAAAATTAATATTGAGAAAAAACAATATAAAACAAGGTAGTTCATTTAGCGAACAAGATACTATCGTTTTTTTTTTTGTAGCTATAGGGTGTATAAGCTTATGTCAAATACTTCTTCGAACTCAACGGTTGGCAACCAAACAAAGTATTATTGTGACTTCAAACTTTTATGGCGATTTGGTATGTGCATTTGGATGGAATTTGAAGGGTTGAGCTATATAAAATAGTCCAATAAACCTATAGTCCAAGACCCGCACTATACAATAAAATCAAACCCACGTATATGAGCTTCATGAATCAAATCCTCAATGGACGTCCTATCTACATAATGAGAAGGCCATTCCGATGTTAATCAAATGGAATCTTAAGCATGGAATGTCGAAGAAGACAAAATTGTTATACGATGGGCAAACAGTGGAAAGTATTATTGTAAGGGAAGATTTGATATTTGCGAGGCAGATCAACTGTGAGAAGATTGTGTTGGAAGGGAACTCTTCTACTGTGATAAAGATGATAATTGATACTGGTGAATATTTTTCTCCTTTAAGATCTATTATAGTAGATGTTAAGTGTTTTCTACATAATTTTCGTTTGTTCTTCGTTTCTACAATCAAGCAAACTAAAATTTGTGTGCGCACCAGCTTGCTAGGAGAGCTAGATGCTATGAATATTTTGATGTTTGGGGGGATATGGCACTAGATTTTTTAGTGTCATTCCTCTTTTCGAATTTCTCTATTTAATATATTCTACGGTTTTGGTCAAAAAACAAAAAAAAAAGCATCCAAATGTGAGGTAGAAGTGGAAAAGTATTCACCCAAATGTGAAGTATGCAACTACCTAAAGAAAATTTTAATCGCAATTTATCCACTACTTACAAGATCACTGAGATCTTCAACTTGGCTCCCTATTGGATAAAGGTTGGGTCATCACTTTCCTTCAGAATTAAAGTGGCAACGAAATCCTACTGTTCAATCTTAAATACAAAATCCACAGGATTGGATTGAATTGGATTGAATGTTCCATTTTGGGAAAAAAAATCCATAGGCTTTGACACCCATCTGCCAGCCATATACAATTAAGTTAACAATTTATACCTCACATTTTTGGTGGGTGGGAGTACTCATTAAGATAGGGTCCACAAAGATATGGCAAGGTTTGCCAGCCCCATTGCTCTTGGCATGGGGAAAGGATATATAGTTGAGCAACATTAATGGGCCAACTTTTATTGGTGGAGAAGTTGACCCACAAAAATAAACATAAATGAGTTAAAAGAATTTTGGGCCAAAAAAAAAGGAGGAATTGTTGGAAGTTGGAATTAAAGATGCCATTTACATATATTCAAATGAACAATACCACAAAACCTAAATAAAATTTTAAAAATTATAATTCAAATACTCTCTTCGTTTCTAAATATCTGTCGTTTAAGGTTTTTACACAGAGATTAAGGAAGCTATTAAATAACTGTAATATGAGTAAAAAATAATTACACAAGACTAAAATACCCTTATTCAATATGTATTAGGAAGGAAAAGAATATGAAAGACACTTAGCCTCCACCTAATCTAATGCATTGAAAAGTTAGGGGTAAATTTGGAAGAAAAAATATTAATTATGATTTGGTTTCATAAAACGACAAATATTATGGAACAAAAAAAATTATGTAAAACGACAGATATTTAGAAACGAAGAGAGTACATATCATCAATTAAATGAGTGAGTCCTATCAATTTTTTTAGTGGGATCTATCATTTCACACTCATCTAAGGAATGATATGCATTTGAGTTTTAACTTTTGGATTTTATTTAGGTTAAATAGCATTTTCCTATTCCAATTGAGTTCGAATAATATGCCACTTTGTTCAATAGACTCGATTCGAGTTTGATTCGTTTATACTATAACATATGAATATGTGCCATGGTTCAGAAACAATAAGATGGTGTCTGACTTTTAATTACGTTACAGTACAATAAGTTCAAGTCGATGGAACTTCTTTTTTTTCTCGTCCCTCAAGTCTAAGCTTGAGTTTAAACTTGTAATATAAAAGTATAGCCACCAATGCCATTTGGATATGCAAAACTAATCCATTGTCATCTTTGAATTTGTAGTGAATCTTATCATTAAATAAATATTACACATATATATTATATACGAAAAGAATTAATTTAGGAGAGAGTGTTTGTGAATTTTTTTTTGAGCAATGCTATGTGCACTAAAACTTGCACCAAATCACTTGTAGTCATTAGATCAGTGGGTCCTATCAATGATCCAACGACTATAGTTAATTTGGTATAAGTTTTGGTGCACATAGAATTGTCCAATTTTCTCCCTAAATTATATTTTTTCCTATTTTTGAATTATTTAAACAGCCTCATCCAATTGATTTCTCTCCTAAATAAAATAACCACTTTCATTTTTTTGTTAATTACCTGACATTTGAATTTCTCTTCATCTTCATTAACTACTTTATATTTAAATTTTTATAAAATATTAATTTAACATGTTAATAAATAATTAAATGTTATAATAGAGTGGGGGAATGAGTGGCAATGGTGTGATGCTAGAGATTAACAGATATTATAAATTCTGTACCTATCGCACGGAACGACCGCTAGTATTAATCTAATAACAACGATACATTAGATCTTTAAATTAAGTACAAACGACATTCGTTGTTTTAGGACTGCTTTTCGTGAAGTCTATTGATTGCTTTAGACACGATCTAGACAATCATCTTTTAATTTTAAGATAGTGAGACGCACAGACAAAGCATGTTGAGTCTTAATTGTTTGGTACAATGAAAAAATAAAACGATGAAAAGTTAGAGGAATAAATTAGGCTTGACAATTCTAGATACGACTTGTAAAACCAACACAAATTCGATACGAATTTAACGAATTTGGGTATAATCTTAACGGATGCAAGTGGTTAATGAATTAACTCGACAGACCTATGAAATAAACGAACTAGTTTCATATTTAGCCCATAAACTCGTTTAACCCGTTTAACATGTTAACAATGACACTATAAATTCTAAACTAAAAATTAGGTCTCTCAGTGTTACGTGCACAATTTTGAGTGATTTGTAAAAAAAAAAAAATAGAATCAAGGAAGAAAACCCGCTTCGAGGGGGGTGAAAACCTCTAATGACTCAATTCAAGAAGAATCGAATCTCCAAAACTTTCACAAGAAAATTCAATACAATATTCAACACATTCATTTCATTGATAGGAAGACCTTTAAATACAAGGTAATAAAATTACCTTAATAACTAACTTGACCCATGATTCCATTATCTTAGTAACCACTTAGAAAACTACCCACAAGATACTATACCACTAACCCACTTACTAAAATATCTACCTAATAACTACCTCTCATATTACATAAAAATATATTAAAAATATGTACATAACACTCAACCTCTATCTCATCTCATGCCTCACATCTCTCATATTCATTCAAAAATTTGGTAGTAATTTAATGTTTATTTTTTGTTTTTACTTTTTTATTTAGTCATGATTTATTGTTATAATAAATAGGTCAAACAAATGTAATGTGTGACGAGTTAATGATTTTTCGTGTGAATTCGAAATACTCTAACCAATTATGTTATTTAGTGAGTAACACACATGTTGTATCAAGTAACCTATTTAATAAACAAGTCATATATAAGAATGATAGTTGGATATGATAATATAAACGAATTGGATATAGATAGAGGGTTTTTTTTACACGAATCCGTTCCACCTCGATACAATTGTGACACTGTCAGGAGTAAGATAGATAAAATATCATGTTTCGTAAGTAAGGAAAATAGGAAGGATAAAAAAGTAGATAGATGAACTTTTCTTTTAACTCACCAAAATCAATATTTCAAAAATTAGGAGAAAAAATGGATAAAAAGTTAATCATATGTGTTAAAATGTATTTTATTTGTCTATTAGCTATAACTCATGCTTGAAAGTACGATAAAATATAAAATGCGAATACCCAAAAAATAGATCTCACTATATTAAAAATTTTTAATGTGTATATTATCGTATATGAATAATGTTTGAAATAAAATTTATGTTAAACTATAAATTAATTAAATATTAAATGATTAAACAAGTGATAAAAATAAATGATATCATGTTTTTAGAGAGAAAAATATATAAGAGATAAAAATTCAAATTACTATGTGTTTTATTATATATAGATATATCATTTGATATATACATATATCATATTTATTAATTAAATATTATATATACATTAATTTCATATATAAATATAATAATAAAATATGTATTTATACTTTTTTTTAAAAAAAAATTAAAAATTAAAAAATTATTTTTTCTATCTTACTAAATACAAAAAAAAAAAATCAAATTTTCATCTCTCTTACCAAACACAAAAGAGGGAAGGAAAAATTCCTCCCTTAAATGATAAAAAATGTGTTGCTCTCATTTTCCTTCCTTCTATTTTTTCATCCACTCTACCAAACGGACCATAAATGACACATTACTCGAACTTAGTTTAAATTCTAAACGAGGTTAAAATTATAATATATCCTCAATTTATTTCATATTTTTTAATAAGAAAGAATGTGAGCGAGTCAATTTGAATCGACCCTAACGCGAACTACATCACAATTGGTGTAAATAATGTCGCACTACTCAATATCACCCTTTCAATATCTAAAAAAATTTATTATCAGAATCAACTTGCCATTTGTATAGTCTTGTTTAGTGCTATAAATAGGAGTTCCAAGAACAAACAGCCCCATTCATCTGAACAATCGCTCTCACTGTTCTGACCAATAATCTAGGTAGTTACCATTCATTCCGACAAAGGCTTTCATTCATTTGGTATTATATACTAAAGGAGATGGCCAGCTCTTCCCATCAAACACTAGCGGCCAGAAGGTAACCCCCCCCCCTTTTCTCTCTCTAAATCTAATTCCTAGATCTGTCAGTGTTTGATCTGATTTAGTATAGAAAATGTGATACTAAACTAAATGGTTTTGCAGACTAGAAGGTAAGGTGGCGATAATAACCGGTGGTGCCAGCGGTATCGGTGCAACCACAGCAAGGCTGTTTGCTCAACATGGTGCTAAGATCGTGATTGCAGATATCCAGGATGACCTCGGAGCCTCCGTAGCCAAAGATATTGGCTCCGAGGAAGCAACCTTCGTCCATTGCAATGTTACCATAGAATCTGACGTCCAAAACGCAGTGGATACGACAATTGCAAAATATGGTAAGCTTGACATCATGTTCAGCAACGCTGGAACCATGGGGAAGCCAATCGCCAGCATTCTGGAGATAGATCACGAAACGATAAACTCGGTTTTCGAGGTTAATGTCTATGGCTCATTCTTCTGCGGCAAACATGCTGCAAGAGTGATGATTCCGGCAAAGAAAGGGAACATTATTTTCAATGCAAGTGCTGCCACGGTGACGTTCGGGGACATCGCACACCCCTATTCGTCGTCGAAGAACGCAATTCTCGGGCTCACGAAGAGATTGGGTGTCGAGCTCGGGCGATATGGGATCAGAGTTAACTGCATTTCTCCATATGCACTGGCAACCCCATTGGGGTTGAATACAATGGGCATAGATAAGGAACTGGGAGAAAAGTTGTTTCAGCAGGCAGCAAATTTGAAACGGATAGTGCTGCGTGAAGAGGATTGTGCAGAGGCAGTGCTATATTTGGCAAGTGAAGAGTCCAAGTATGTGAGTGGGTTGAACCTGGTGCTCGATGGGGGTTACAGCACAACCAACGAAGCTTTTACAGAGGCCATGAAAAAACTGTTACTCTGAATCAGTGTCACCAAGGCAAAATTTGAGAAAATACAACACAAATATTCTATCATAGTGGGTATTCAATAATCAGTACATGAATTCTAAGGAATCCGAAAGAAATTGTATTGAGAAGTAATCTATATAAAAGTTGCGACTATCACGTTGTAGCAACAATTGCAGCTCTATAACCTACTTTTCTAATGAATGAAAGAGTTGAAATATATGTCTGTGTATTGCTTCTTTTGGTGTAACATTTTTGCTTGTATTTTTGTTCTCATAAAAAAGTAATGATTCCTGCAATCTCACCATGTTCTTTTGCTAGTTTTCAATGTGAATTTTCGAACTCAAAGTACCGATCTTAATCAGATAATTAATATGTATTCCACCAGATAATTCCCCTACCTTTTCATTTTGGACGAAGGCTACCTCTACCTATGAGTATCTAGGACAGCAGATTTTCAAGTCTCCTACACTATCCAATTCCTCTGTTCTCCAACCACATGTTTTTCTTTCAATAGTAAATATATGGAAAAATAATACCGTTTATAACTGTAAAAATATTGGATAAGTCATTTTTACCGATCGAATAAAAATAGTCATTTTGCTTTAGCAAATTTCTATTAAGAAATTAATTCTAGTTGTGATAATTGGTTCCAAAAAAAATAAGAATCCATCACTAACACGTTTTATTCCAATATCATCAATTCTCATCAAAAGGGCAAAGTACCCTTTAGCAAAATAGACCAAAAAATAAATAAATAGTGACCTCGAGGAAAAAAGAAAAGAACGATAGAAAAGTTGGTTTATGGCGGGACCACAGGTAACAAAGAGCCGTGGTTGGAAAAGACTAATTACCTAAGAGCATAAAAGACTCATATGTTAGAGCAATGGAATCTACTAGACCAAAAAAACTTAATTAGAAAGCTGCCACCTACCTACAGTATGCAATAAGAGCAACTGTTCTGTGAGGGAGAAAAAGGAGAGAAAAAGAAGGGAGGGGGGGGGGGGGGAGAGAGAGAGAGAGAGTTGAGGGGATACCTAAGGGAAGCCATAATAGTAGATCAGCTGCAGAGTTGGTAAAGGAAAGCCGAAGGATTATAAACTGTACCACAAAAAGATCAGAACACTGGTGGCAACTGCTGTCTAGGTATAAGTCAATGGATATGATGTAGGAACTCTAAAACCCATGAAGTATCTGATGGCTATTAATGTGATAAGGTGCTCAACCCCTAGACTAACAGGAAATTGGAACTGCAAGAAGAAAGGAGGAGATATTTGCCAACTGATTCCATGTTAGTGCTATTCTTGTTCATTCAAACAAAGCAACTAAAACAAACCCCTATGTAGAATCTTTGGAATACCAAGCTAAATCAGATGCAGATTTTAAAAAATTCCACAGTAAATGAAAATTACCTCAAATCCGTGGAAGAAACAGTGTGGTGGTGAGGAAGTGTGTCTACGAGAGGAAAACAACAGAATAGATGCTTTCCGCATCTGTCTTTTGGTTACTCTCTTAGATTCCCTGCAACTACATCATAGTATGGCATTTCTTGTGATCAAAGCTTAAAAGGCAGGAAAAAAATACGATAGACAGAGAACTTTTTTGTAACAAATTATCTAAAATAGGACTTAATTATCCCAATAGAACTTTTAAAGGACTTATTATTAGTTTTTTAAGGGAAAAACCGAAAACCTTTATAATTTAGGAGAACGACCGATTACGATGAAAAGCTTACTAAATAAGTAACTTAAAGCTGTTCTTCCTCGATCTCTTATTCAAATCTACTTCTAACTCTCTCTCATTACAGATCAAGATTCTACGTTCTTCCAGCTGGTTGATCAGTTTTCCTTTCCTCCCATTCAAGCTAGGATATTTTGGATCATCTTGCCTTATGAAAAAAAAAATCCAAACCAGTTAAATTACTGGTTTTGGTAACCCGTACTCATTTACGTGGTTAATCATTGTTCCAACTCAATTTTTGAAAATAAGGTACATTAAATTGGGTTTAGACCATGTTTTGCTAAGACTATAAAATAGACTTATATTGCAGAGCCATACGTTGTACATTAAATCCAGATCAGCTGTTCCTGAAAGCTCACAATATACAGTTCAATAAACTGCAGTTAAGCAAAATAAAATGGGTTAGCCTCTATGATGTAAATTTTGTGTAGTTTGGTTTGGGATTCACTTCACTGACCTTCAACCCGTTCTCATGGCTGTGAAGCTCTACTGTACATGTATCCCATCAAAGTGTACACACACACACACATCTTTTGGAAACTCTATACTAATGCTCCTTTAATTTCTGGAATCCACCAAGACATTTCTTAAGAAAAACATAACACATTTTTTGCTTATATGTATAAGTAACCTTTCAATACACATGTTCGTCAACACAAATACAATACATGGCAGGGGCAGATATACATGAGAAAACCACATGCCTTGGCAGCACCCAAAAAACTCTTTCCATTTTTAAAAATGCATTAATTCTGATGTAGATTGGGGAACAATTTAGGATGAGAAGAGAAGAAATAGGGATGAGAAGAAAAGAAAGAAGTTCGGAGAAAAGAGATCGCAATTTTATTCAATACTTCAAATCTGATACAATCTGTACATGCATACCCATTTTTAATGGCCACCAAATAATTAATCTAAGAGTTTTAAGGTATTTATTATTCCTCTCATTTATCTTTTTTTTTTTCATTTCAAATTATTCCTCTTATTTATCAACTACTAATTTAAGAATTAAAATAAATTTCAAGATAATGCCCAAAAATACATTATCCAAAATCGCATCAAATTCTACATTTACATATACTCTAATAGAAGATAATTAGAGGGTGTTTGGTTTGCGTTCCGAAAACTGTTTTTTGTTATCAAAATTTCAAAAACACCCAAAACTTATTTGTTTAGTATTTTTGTTTTCAAAATTTTGAGAAAAAAATGAGAATTGAAGCAAAAAAATAGAAAACAAGTTAAACTTGTTTTCGGAGTTTTCTTTGAAAATTTTGGAACACACGGAAACAAGCTTTGCTCATTAAAGAGATCTACCCTTCGAAACTTTTTAGCAGCAAATAAGGTCCTCCTATAAAAGGTATTTTTTTTGCCTGTTGTCTCTTTTTTTTTTGGCCCCCCCCTCTCTCTCTTCCCTCCCGAACGACTACACTCTCTGATGACTTTGTCTTCTCCAGCGAAAGAATATTCTCCGGCGACTGTAGATCGTCTTCTCCAACTCAAGTAAGCCATATATCTGGGTTTTTTTTTCGTTTTTTGCACGATTTTTTTGGGGTTTATTTTTGTTTTGATTTTTCCATTATCCCTTCAATACTATAACAGATCTGCTGCAACAGATGATCCCATTTTTTGGGTCTGCTTGGTTTGATTTTGATTTTTTGTTTTTGGCACGATCTGTTGGGTGGTTCTCGGTTTGGGTGGTGGTGGTGGTTGTGGGTATTGGGTGGTTCTCGGTGTCGGTTGTGGGAGTTGGGTGATTTCTCGGTTTGGGTTGGTGGTGGTTGTGTGTTGTGGGTTGATGGTGGTTATGTGTTGGTGGTGGTTGTAGGTGTTGGGTTGATGGTGGTTCTCGGTTATGGGTGTTGGGTGATACACAGTGAAAGAATGAGAGAGAGAGAGTTGAAGAGAGGTGAGAATTATAGATTATTGTCCAAACAAATTTTATAATTTTTGTTCTTTAAAACTATTTTTAAAAATATATAATCAAACAGGTTTTGAAATCTAAAAATTTTTAAAAACACTTTCTTAAAACTCTTCTCAAAAATAGTTTTCAGATACTGTTTTTTGAGATGCAAACCAAACAGGCCCTTGGATTTCCATCAAATTCACTCATAAAGAAGAAAAGAAAAATAAAAAAAAACAAAGACAAGGTTAATTCCAACTTTTTAACCAAGTGCACTTTTAGAGCAATGTTGTGCCGGAATTCATAATGAAATTCGATGTCCAATAGTTGAGTTGTACTATAATCCTCCTTGCAGTTGCTACGAAACAGCTAAAATATATTCATAATTAAGTTGTAGAATAACATTGGGCTCTAATCTCTCTTTTAGTTACATGAATCCTTTGGGTTCCAACAAGCTTTTCACATTACACGAATCCCACGCTACACTCAAAGGTCACAATATCATCAAGATATGTTGTGAGGTAAGAGGAGGTTCAATCCAAAATTTTTCTATGTACATCCTTCATCTATTTCCTGTGTTATGATTTCAAGATTGTGCCCTCCAGAGTGACAATTTCAAGTTTCAGCTTAGAAATTTGTGTCTATTTTCTCTATACATAAACTTCATAATGATTCATTTGCAGATCTGTATAAAGCTAAACGATATTCTACAAATAAGATCTTTTTTAGGCCACGGCATTGTTCGAGAGAGGACAAAAAAAAAAAAAAAAGGTAAGCATGAAAGTTGAAACAGTAAGCATAAGTGGGTGTAACCACCACCGTAATAATAAATGAGGTAGTGGGCCTGGTGGCGATCATAAGCATCCAACAGTATTAAAATTATCGATCTAAAAGATCTCCTAGGAGGACAGCCCCACAAACCCACACAAGGAAGAAAGGGAAAATATGAAAAAGACAAAACCCTCCTGGAAGAGCTACAATCCATGCTGATTATTGTTCTTTAAGGAGAATATGAGAAGTTCACCATTCGAAATTAATGCCAACAAGGGTAATAACTAATGACTCAAGAAAAAATTGGCAATTAGTATAGAACATTGCATAAATTACAGCCAGCATTTTGTGATTTTATATAACAGCTGTTTTTGTATAATACAGAATAATTTCACTCGTCTCACTCCAGAAAGAAATTGTATTTGACTGCAGAAATCTCATACAAGTATCCGCAATTTAAAACGCTGACCTTTTCATTATGATGCCATGAGGAGAGGGACCGAGGAAGACAGTTACAGGCTCAAATTATGACCTAACTTTCGCCAGACGGGCCCTTATTTCTTCTAATTCTTCCTCATCGTCGACGCCCTCTTCCTGCATATTGACAAAAACAATTGATACTCCTTACCTTAATTCAAGGAAGAACAAGAACAGCCACTCTGGCAAAGCATTACGTAGTTACATATCACAAATACCTCTGTATCTTCTGCTGCCTGGGAAGGTTGCTTTAACCTCTCCTTCCTGACTGTTTCTGGAAGTTGTGCTACAGTCTCACCAGCTATTGCAGTTAGGACTTTATCAACTTCTTCTTCGATCTCCTCTTCCATATCTTCTGAATCCAATGCAGTGTCAACAGCATCATTCACAATCTCTTCAATCACGCCAGCCTGCAATCACAAACTTAAAATTCACCCCCTAGCAACGAAAGGGAAAAAAACCAACAGTTCTTTTCAGGCAAACATAGATATCTGAGGGATCCCATGAGTGTCATTCTTATACTACACCATATGCGATGACATGACTTGCCAGCAAGTTTCTATCCAGAACTTCATTAAAACTTGTAGCTTTTAGCCGGCTTCTCCAGTCAAATTTTATGAATTCAAATTGATTCACCATACAATGTTGAGATCCTTATCAGGCACTTGGATACATTATGTACATAAACGATTCAAAGCAAATTCCATAGCCTTTACAGGCTACAGCACACAAGTTGCTACAGCCATAACTAAGATGTCATTAAACTGCTATCAATATATGGGTAAATGCTAAATTGCAATTTAAGCATTACAACATGCAAGTCAATCTAATATTACCACGTAGGGGTGTGCAAAAATCCAAAAATTCATACTCCGACTCCATCTCCATCTCCATCGGAGTCGGACTTTATCGGAGAAAAATTGTAGACTCCAACAAGAGTTGGAGTCGAAGTCTGATGGCCTATCCGAAAAAACTCCGACTCCGACTTTTATTAATTAATGATTTTATATAAATTACAAATTATACAACATATATGAAACATCCAAAACTGCTCCAGCCAAAAATATATAATATACATTGGAATTTATATAATATATATTATATTACAAATTATATAATATACATCAGGAAATAGGAATCTCCCATGCCCCACCCCCACATATTCAGCATATATGCATTTTGTGTGTGTGTCTCTCTCTCTTGGCGACAACAAGCCACTCTTTCTTGGTCATAGCGTCACAGTAACCACTCCGATTGAAGCATAGATCTTTAGATCTCACCTGCATGAATTGGAGACGTCCTTCTGCATCATATTTGAAAACGCTCTTTTTCTTTAGTCGAAGCGCTCTTCTACCTCAAAACTAGAAGTCCCAAAAGATTCATTTGTTCTTCATTGCTCGCTAGAAGAAAAAGAATGGCTTAGGAAAAGATATGTAACTTTTCATAGGTTTTTTTTTTTTTGGAAAATTTTTTTAATTTCTTGATCTGATCTACTTTGTTGACTATGAATATTTTCCGTTTGTTTCTTGATGATCTGGAAAATGAGAAAATATTTGCTTCATTTTTATGAAGTTCTTGGGTAATAGAACTCCGAAATTCCGGTCCGACTCCGATTGGCAGAGGCGAAGTCCTAGGCAATGTAGTTTAGAGTCAGAGTTAGAGAGCAAAATTCATTCTGACTGAAGTCGGAGTTCAAAATCATTCTTTTTGACTCTGTCGTAATCGGAGCCCACTCCCTACTGCCACGTATTCACTAGTGATTTACACTTCTTGTCATGGTAATCCTTCTGGGACAAAAGGAAAATATAAATTAAAAAGACATAACAAAACAGTGTAGAGAGAGGGGAGGAGGAAGAGGAAGGAGAAGTAGGTCACCAGGAGAAGCATAGACGCAATAGAAAATAAACCAGATAAGTCTTCCAAGCCTCCTAGTAGAAAACACACAGAAAAAAAATTGGAGAGAGAGAGGGCGGGGCCAAAGCTCTTGGAACCATGCCAAAAGTCATCTTATCTCTTTGGCAATGGGGCATTTTTTTTCGAAATAACTCCAGCAATAGAGCTACATAAGAGTATGTAGAAGTCCAAAAAACCTTTCTTTTTTTTTTGGTACATAAAATAGGTATGCAGATAGGTCACTTCACATATCTGTTAGGGAGCATTGTCTTTCAGCACCACACAGCTATCTGCAGAGGACCCCACCGCACCTATGTCGGGACCGAAACTAAGATTCCACCGTATGCTTTGAGCAGTGAAGTATAAATTTAACCCCAACAAGCTGTTGTAGCTATAGAGCCTCGAACCCAAGCATTGAGCAAGGAATCCAAGTTTTTACCCACTGGGCTAACAGCTCGTTGGTGAATTTACCTTTCAATGTATATAAATAGGAACTAGAGACAATAAGCAACAAAAAACTCATGAGTACAACTACAAAAACAAAAATAAAAAGAGAAAGAATTTATGATCATTACGGGGTTATAATATTAGGACTCATTCACGTCAAACAAGAAAGTGTGAGCACGCGTACGACTGCATGCATGCCGATGTCTCATTTTGTAAAAGTGTGTGCGTGAGAGAGAGAGAGAGAGAGAGTAAATAGTAAAACAAAGCTTTATTTAGCATAAATAATTGTGAGCATAGACGAAAAATAAATTCCAACAGCAATACAGAAGCCCAATTAATTGGCATACATGCATGAGAATGGGCTGGCTCATGAAGGTAGAGAAAAGGCAATGTACACAAGATCCATTATAGGATAACAAGATTAATCATATAACAAAGGTCATAAATAATATGATCATAGAAAAATTAGCCTGTGTTGCCTCATAATCCTTTAAACTTGTTAAGAATAGTAGGGTACTATGTGTAAATTGTTAATAGTAAGAGGGTGTATGTGTAATTCTTATTATTATAAGTTAACTATAAATACAAGTGATGTATGAGAGTTAAGTTAAGTTTTTAACCTCTCTTTTTCTCTCTAATATTGTGTTATGTTATATCTCTAAACTTAACATGGTATCAGAGTATTAAGATCTTAAATACAGAAATAAAATTTTTTAGCGTAAACAATTGTGGTGGCCTCTGTGGACGTTGGTGTTGCTGTGTTGTCTGGTGTGGTGGCCTTTGTGGCGTCGTCGACTGTGGTGGTGTCCACTGTGGCGTGGTGGTGTTGTCGTTGGGTGTCGATCGTGGTAGTGTCGTTCCCGTTTGTCTTCATGGTGGTACTGTTGCTGTCGTTTCCACTTGTCTCTGTGGTGGTGCTGTTGTGGTGGTGATGTTCTTTGTGGTGGTGTAGCTGTTAGGTGCCGCTGTTGAAGAAGACCAGGTTTTCTGAAACCCTAGTGACGGAGAAGACACGGTCCACGGGTTTTAATTTATTTCTGATCCAGATCCAGCCCAATCAGTCTCTGGTCCAGACCAGACCTGATCCGGTTCACGGTCCAGCATAGACTGGCTTAGCGGTTCAGCCTAGATCGGCTCAACGGTCCAGCCTAGATCGGCTCAACGGTCCAGCCTAGACCGGTTCAGCTAGTTTCCCACAGGTTCACACCGGTTCAGTCAGAATCTACTCCGATTCAGAAGTTCAGCAAGCCTAGTCTGCCCGATTCAGTGGTCCAGTCAGCTCTTGTGGTCCGGTTCAGTCTTCCAGCATTCTTTTGCGGCCGGTTCAACTTTTCTAGTTAATTCAGTAGTTTGGTGGCTAGTTCAGTAGATTTTCCAGTTTCCCCATCCGGTTCAGAAGGTCTTCAAGCAATTTCAGTAGGTTTCCAAGCCGGTTTAGCCCTTTTTAGACCTGTTCAGTCCCGGTTCAGTCAATTTTAAGCCGGTTCAGGCCGGTTCTGTCAGTTTTATTTCCAGTTCAGCGGTCCAATGGGTTTCTCTGGTCCGGTTCAGCAATCCAGTGGACTCCTTTGGTCAGGTTCAGCGATTCAGTGGACTTCTTTGGTTCGGTTCAGCAGTGTAGTAGGTGATCCTTGTCCGATTCAGTGATTTTCTTTTTCATTTGCTGCACTTATAAAACCCAAACAAGACACTAGGTTGGTTACTATTACACGAGAGGAGTATGCTCAGTTCTTGTCCCAGCAACAGGCTGTCCCATCTTCCTCTACTGCTATTTTTGCCCAGTCAGGTAATACTTCCACTTGTTTATTGTCCTCCACTCGCAGTCCTTGGATTATAGATTCTGGTGCTTCTGACCACATGACTGGTGTATCTGATATTTTTTGTACTTATCAATTTGCTACTTCCATACGCAGTGTTACTCTTGCTAATGGTACTTGTTCTAAAGTTTCAGATCTTGAAACTACTCACTTGAGTCCTGATATGTCTCTATCTTCTGTGTTATTTGTTCCTCAGTTTCCTTTTAGTTTATTTTCTATTAGCAAGATTACCCGTTCTGTCAATCGTTCTGTTACCTTTTATCTTATTGTGTCTTTCAGGATCTCAAGACGAATAGGAAGATTGGTACAGGGCATGAAGCTGGTGGTCTATATTACCTTGACTTTGATTCACCTACTCGGGCTCTACAAACCTCGTTGTCTCATTTTCAATGGCATTATCGTCTTGGACATCCCTCCCTCCAAAATCTGAAGCGCCAAGTTCCCAGTCTTAGTTATGTGTCATCTTTGTCTTGTGAAGCTTGTCAACTTAGTAAGCATCACCGTGTGTCATTTCAGTCTAGAGTCTATAATCATGTGTCTAGTCCATTTGACTTAGTACATTCGGATGTATAGGGTCCAATAAAGAATATTTCATTTAATAAATATCTTTATTTTGTGATATTTGTAGATGACTATTCTCGTGTGACTTGGTTGTTTTTGATAAAATCTCGGTCTGAATTATTCTCTATATTTGAGACCTTTCATAAGAAAATAAAAACTCAATATGGTTGTCATATACGTACTTTACGTTTCGATAATGCTCGAAAATATGAATCTGATCATTTTTTAGCTTTTTTTAAGATAACTGACATTATTCATCAGACTTCTTGTGCTTACACCTCTCCCTAAAATGGTGTTGTTGAACGCAAGAACCGTCATTTGTTGGAAGTCACCCGTGTCTTGTTATTCCAGATGAATATTTCTCGATATTTTTGGAGTGATGTTGTTCTTGCTGCTTGTCATCTTATTATTCGTATGCCATCCTCTATGTTAAATGGGCAAAATTCATATTTTGTCCTTTTTCCTGGTAAGCTCTTATTTTTCCTGACTCCTAAGATTTTTGGATGTGTCTGTTATGTTCACAATTTGGGTCCTAGGTTTGACAAACTTGATCCTCGAGCTACCAAATGTATATTTTTTTGTTACTCCCGCACACAGAAGGGGTATTGTTGCTACAGTCCTTCTCTGCACCGATATTTTACTAGTGCCGATGTCACATTTGAAGAATTTGTTCCATACTTTCCAACACCTTCTCAGTCTTTGGATCTGGACTTTAGATCATCTCCTGTACCACCATCTTTAGATATTCCGCTACCCACTGTGTTCCCATCTACTTTACCTCTCCGTGTCTACTCTCGTCGTCCTCGTCCATCGATTGAGGTGTCCGTACCGTTTTTCTTTTCGCCTTCTGATTCTGGTACATCAGGTAATTTAAACTCTTTACCTATTGCTCTTTGCAAAGGTACTCGTTCGTGCATTACTAATCATCCTATTTCTCATTTTATTTCATATAATGCCTTATCTCCTGTCTTCTCTTGTTTTACTTCCCAATTATTTGCTATATCTATTCCTAAGCATTTACAGGATGTATTATCTAATTTGGGTTAGAGGAAAGCTATAGTGGAGGAGATGAATGTTTTACATAATAATGGGACTTGGGATCTCATTCCTTTACCCCCTGGTAAACGAACTGTTGGCTGTCGTTGGGTGTATACTGTTAATGTTTTACATAATAATGGGACTTGAGATCTCATTCCTTTACCCCTGGTAATCGAACTGTTGGCTGTCGTTGGATATATACTGTTAAATTTCATCTAGATGGTTTTGTGGAGCGTCTCAAAACCCGACTTATTACAAAGGGCTTTACTCAGACTTATGGTGTTGATTATGAGGAGACTTTTTCTCCTGTTGCCAAAATTTCCTCTGTTCGTATCTTGATTTCTTTAGCTGCTAATCTTGATTGGCCCTTGTTTCAGTTAGACGTCAAGAATGCCTTCTTACATGGTGACTTGGTTAAAAAGATATACATGGAGCAGTCACCTGAGTTTACTGCTCAAGGGGAGTATGATAAGAGTGTATGTTGGTTAAAAAATTTTTTGTATGGTTTGAAACAGTCACCGAGGGCATGGTTTGGTAAGTTTTCAGATGCAATTTTAGAGTTTGGTCTTCTTCGATGTCAGACTGATCATTTTGTTTCATAGACAGACAGATGTTGGATATGTCCTATTGATAGTCTATGTAAATAATATTGTGATTACTGAAAATGATTCTGAGGGGATTGCCAAGTTAAAAATATTCTTACAGGATCGATTCTATACTAAGGATTTGAAAAAACTTAAGTATTTCTTGGGTATTGAGGTAGCTCGATCTAAACAAGGTATTTGTTTATCCTAGAGGAAATATATACTTGACATGCTTGAGGAGGCAGGTTTGTTGGGTGGTAGACCGATTGATGTTCCTATGGATCCAAATCAGAAATTATTGATGAATGATGGTGCATTATTTGAGAATTCGGGTCGGTATCGCAGATTGGTTGGGAAGCTTAATTATCTTACTATTACTCGATCGGATATTTCCTATGCAATCAGTATAGTAAGTCAGTTCATAGGATGTCCTAGAGTACCACATTGGGAGGCAGTTACTCGTATTCTACGATATCTCCAACGAGCTCCTGGACTTGGATTGTTATATCGAGCTAATTGACATCTTAGATTGGAAGGTTTCTCAGATACTGATTGGGTTGGCTCTCCTTCTGATCGGAGATCAATCACTGGTTATTGCACTTTCTTAGGAGGTAATGTTGTCTCATGAAAAAGTAAGAAACAACTCGTAGTAACAAGATCTAGTGTCGAAGCTGAATATAGGGCAATGACACATACGACGAGTGAGTTGACTTGGCTACTACATTTTCTCCAAGAAATTGGGTTTTCAGTTCAACTTCCTTTACAGTTATTCTGTGACAACCAAGCAACTATCCATATCGCTGTTAATCCTGTGTTTCACGAGAGAACCAAGCATATTGAGGTTGATTGTCACTTTATTCGAGACAAGATAGTAGCTAGGGAGATTACAACTCTATTTGTGAAATCTAAAGATCAGCTTGCAGATATGTTTACCAAAGTATTAAGTCGTACACGTCTTACAGCTATTTGTTCCAAGCTTGGATTATATGATATATATAGTCCAGCTTGAGGGGGAGTGTTAAGAATAGTAGGGTAGTATGTGTAAATTGTTAATACTAAGAGGGTTTATATGTAATTCTTATTATTGTAGGTTAACTATAAATACAAGTGATGTATGAGAGCTAAGTTAAGTTTTTAACCTCTCTCTTTCTCTCTAATATTGTGTTATGTTATATCTCTAAGCTTAGCAAAACTAATATCAATAAAGTGGCCTCGTCTCTAAAACAAAATTGAAAAAAAATACCTATGCATGATATTCAAAAAAAGCACTAAACTCTAAAGTGTCCATTTTCCTTGCCAGAGAATGGGAACAAAAAAAAAAAGAGTAACAAAATAACAGAGCCTTTTCATCTGTTTGTTGCATGATATACTGAAAAAAAAGTACCTTCGTCATTTCTTTGCTGAATTCTTGCATTGTGGCTGCCACTTCTGGGGCCTTCATGAGGTTGTTGACAAGCTTCATGACTTCAGCACTCTTGGACAAATGTCCAACTGTACGAGAAATAGCTGCAAAATGGGTTCAAACTACATGAATATTCAGAATGACGCAAATCAAAACAAACAGATAGCATATGAGAAATTCCAAGAAGTAAACACAGATGATCAATCCAAAAAAATTTAATGTCAAGTAAGAAATATCCCATCCGTCGGCATTACCCCTCGTGACCAACATAAATAAATAAAGTAAAATGACAAGCTGTTATAGATAAATAAGAGTATGTATCTATTTCATGTTATTTTATTCAACTTGCGAGTGGTCCAACTCTAAAAGTGCCTTCTGTATGTATTTCTTAGAAGTTACAACAAAACAAAAATATTATCGGAACATTGGTAGGAACAACTTTACCCAACAATAGAAATTAGAATATCAAATTCCACCTAAATGAAACTAGTTATTAGGCTAAATTCTTGCAGGACATTTCTATTTATGCATGGTCTAGACACAACGTTGAAAATTCAGACAATACATATCTGAAATCCTGCTTTCCTGTCAAACAGGGGGTTATGAGGTGACTGGTGAGATATGGAGCTTATAACAAATATGATGCAATGTAGGGTCCCCGTTAAAGATCTTTCCACCTCTCTTTTCACTGACCAGTGGGACATCCTACATCCCATGAATAACATGCTTAATTCAGCAAGAAAGCATAAACACGGAAGAATACAACATAAGTTAAGATGTGAGAAGCATTATACCAACACTTTCCCCGAGATGCATTGATATTGAATTCAACTGTGCCTTATTTTCGTAAAGTCGATTCACAGTCCTTCTAGATCTCACAATTTCTTTAGCAAGTGCCTGTGACAAATTTGACGAAGGAAAATTGTAAAACAAAGTAGTGAAGAACCAAAATTCAAAGCAAGCAATAGGTTTTACCTTAACCAGTGCAGTCACACACAGCAGAATAAGCACAAAATGGTCATCATAGCACTGACTGACAGACATCCCAAAATATTCCATACTGTAAGCGATGCAATCAGGAGGATAATTAAAAATTTTATTTCCAAACTATGAGATTTAATAGACTGACTCCAAAGTTCGTGTTTGTGCTAAATAATTGCTCACTTAGCCTAACCAGATCCTCAATGAGACACCAAATGACATATCAATGCATATAGGACTGAAATACTATTACTGTGTTCCCTTGTCAATGTGATGGTGGTGTTTGGCGGTTTTAGAAAAGAAACAATATAACGGGGATCCCCAGGCCGGTTGTTTCCAAGAGGTAGACACCACCTCCAAAAAAGAGTCGTATTCAAGCTAAAATCCCTCGTTTTTAAACGGCCAGAAGGAGGCACATTTAAGGCCAATTTTGATCAAAAGTGGGCAATGATCTGATTTGGGTCAGGGGAGGTGCTCCACTAGTATATTAGTTAAGCAACCAAAACAAAAGTTAGCTCAAGGAAGACCTTAGAGATGATTTTTTTAGAAGAAAACTGTCTTATACTGGGTGCCAATTGCACGTATTATACCATTTAGCTAATAATACCAACCTAAACTAGCGCAGCCACAAAGTTTCTATTGACTCCCTCGACCAGCTGCAAGGCGGATAAAGTAAGCATAATAGTCTGCACATTAATAGTTGGGATCATGCATGGTGTTCCTTCATCCATGCTGCCTAAGGTGCCCAAGTATGGCATAGGGACGGATTTGGTTGATTCCAAGAAGTCTATCCCTAAGAAGACTTTGAAATCGTCTAGGGGTGTCAAAGTGAAATTAGTCGTCCATTTCCATCCTCCTTGCCATGGATTGGTTTTCCAGCAGAGTTAAAGGCCTTGATGCGGCTGGCTTCCCTTTCCGTCTTTAACCCTAAGTGTTTGGCTTTCCCCTCAAATATAAAGTTATGGGTTGCTCCTGCATCAACAAGGGTCCTATGTCTATTCCTCCCCCATTGTGTTGAGATAGATTCCGAGTGAAAAACTTATTCAGGCTCTTCCTCGACTAACTAACTTTTTGCCTTTTGGTTAACTGGGTTTGGGTGCATCCAACATGCTTCAGTTTTAGACTTTGCAAACCTCGATAAACCTCGGCCCCTTTTTCCTTTCAATTGTTTCAACAGCTCAAAGAAACTAAAAAACAGTTTCTGTTGTACACCGTAACACCTATCCCATTGAAAAATGGAGATAAACTTGGGGATCATATTCCCGACAAATGTTCATAGTTATGGAAACAGGAGAAAGATAAGAACAGTTGCTTGCCTTTTGAATTGGTGGGAAATAAACGAAGGCGCACAATAGAACAGTATTCTACTCAAATCATTCAAAAAGCCAAAGCTAAAGATCAGAAGGTGTTCCATCATGTTTATAGAATAAAAGAAAATAATGCATTTAAAAGTAGTAACCATTGTCAGTTAAAACGAAAGATCCACCACATCACAAGTTTTAGTAACTTCCCAGCTTTTAAATACTAACAACATCAAACGCTTTAAACCCGGCTCCCCCTTTCTTCAAATTGTAGTCAGCCTCCTCTTATAAACATACAATCTAGTGAGAAATAAGCCAACAACTTGCAAATAAAAATAGTTCGTTTTTTTTTCAATTTAGTGGGATTTACACATGATGATGTAATGAGCCAGCATTCAGCAGGTAAAAAGGAAAACTTGGAAATAATCCGAAAGTACAGGAAACTAAGCTGTGTTCAATTCCACATAAGAATTAACCAAAAAAAAAACGGAACTGGAATGATGGTGGATTAATAGTACCTTAGCAGAGCCCATGTCATTTCTCTTGGCAGCCTCTCTTATTGCTTTTTGTACACTTTTCTCTTCCCTCTGTATATCTGACCGACCACACCCAGAAAAAACAAAACGAAATTCAATCATCTCAATTTCTCATTGTGCAAGCGAAGAAACAATTGAAAAAAAAAAAAACAAAGAAACATCCGACAAATAAAGAAATACGGTCGGTAGGAATTGAGAAGAATAATAAACCTCGGATTTGGCGTTCGATGTTGCGGCACTCTTGGCGGAGATGACGTTGCCAATCTCTCAATTGCTGTTGTGGATTCGGTTTTGGCTTCAACAAATTCACCATTTTCTCCATCTCTCTCTCTATCTCTCAAAAAAAAAAAAAAACACAGAAGAGAAGAAGTTAGATTGATGAAACCCTCGAAATCAATCGATAGAAAGTGAATGAAATGGTGTTGTTGCGTGATTCTTCCTTCACAGGATCGAACTGAGAAACAATTCACCTCAACAAAGTTTTAATGCCAACAGATTGAAAAAAACACTTTCTTTATTTTTCATATATATTTTACAATTCTTTTTTTTTTTTATCAGGAAAGAAAGGTTTAGATTAATTGCTAAATTGTAAAAGCCATAGACTTGACTCCACAAGACGGACAGATCGCAGAAGACGCGTTAGAGGGTTCTTGGCATAGTCCTAACCACCCACGCCCACAACCGGTAAAAGTGCCTTCTTTTTTTCTTTTTTTTTTTAATATTCAACTTGAATCAGTTTATATATATTTTAACTAATTTTTTTTTTTAATTTAATCAAAAACAGGTCATTTATATCGAAAGGAAGTTATTCGTGAGAGTTAAATCTCTCTTGGTCTATATTATTATTTTTATTTTTTTTTAGTTGAAATGTATAAATTTGTTATTTTCTATCCATTTGTTCAAAACCTACAAAAAAAATGATGGTTGTGTTAAAAAATAATGATTTTGATCATCAAAGTAATGAAAGATTTCTAATAAATTGAGCATTCACCAAAACACAAAAAGAAAAATTAATGTGTTTAATGTGATAACATGAGATAAGTGAGAAGATTATGCATTCGGCTAAAGAGAGTTCAACTCGAACATGATTAATATCAGTGAGAAGATTATGCAATCGACTAATTAAGCAGTGGGTTCAACTCATACATGATTAATCTTTCTTTTGTTACTGATGGTGAGAAGAAGGAAATACACAAGTGATTCACTAAATTGAACAGTTAGACTAGTCCATTGTAATAGAAGTTATTACTCGTATGATTGGTATTATTTGAGGATGAAGAAGGAAACTACACTAGGGATATCGCTCGCGTGTCTAAGACAGTATACATACTCGTCTTTTATACATGGTGGTAGTGTGAACCTAACTATTTGTTAGAATATTTGAAAGAATATTTGACTGTTAGAGATTCTATCCCGTAAACAGAGGCAAAACCAAGATTTTATCCCAATGAGAGCCAAACAATGGCATAGATAAAAATGTTATTAACTGGATAGACAATTATATTATTTTGTCAAAATTAACTTTCATACAATACAATTGTAAAAATTAGTTTCGGTCATAAAATCCAAAGAGCAGTTCTTAGTACAATTCCCATCATCTGGAACGTGTGGAAATCGAGGAATAGAGAATGCTTTGATGGGGTCTCTAGCGAGACAGCCCACATTGCAAAAAAGTCTATCTCTCAAGGGAAAGAGATTCTCCAGGCTTTCGAGAGAAGTCTGATTGATAAACCTGACAATAATAGAGGACTGTGGATCAAAGGGTTTATTAGCAGACTAAGCAATTCCTCAAGCCTCAAGGTGGAGCTCTGGGCTATTCATCATGGCTCGAAGCTGATACTGGGCTTAAGGGGGTCTTTTATTCTTGAGACGGACTGCCTTGAAGCCTACAATCTGCTAACCAGTGATCATGTTGTTAGCCACCGTTTCAAAGTCTTGCTGGATGACTGTAAATTCATCATTAACTCTCTCAATGTCTTGCTGAAGCACACTCCTAGAGAGAGGAACAGTTGTGCTGACTCCCTTGCTAACTTAGGTGTTAATCAGGGGGCTGATTTTTTCTGTTCTTGAAGATCCTCCTGCTTGTATTGTCAATATGTTAACCCTCCACAGCACCAAAAAATAAAAAAATAAAAAAGAGTTTGTGACCATTTCATGCTCCTTTCATTTCCATATTATAATATCATGAAATTATTTGAAAATAATTTATCCTCACAAATAATAATTTCACACAGTAAGATAATATAAAGTCGTTGGTTAACATATTTCTTTTGACATAAACGACATTTATAATCTAGTTTTGCAAAAAAAAAAACTTTTTTTTAACTTTCTTTAATCATTAAACTCAACCAAATATCTTTGATTATAAAACCATCACTCATCCATGGATTACATCCTCCATTTAACTATAAAATATTAATTAATTGGTCTTTTCAAATTCACTAAGATTTTTTTAAAATTTGTGGGGTGTTACAGAGATATTTGAAATTTTGAGGGGGGGCATGCTTCTTAATTCTGCCCATGTCCTTAGGCGTGACGTGACATTTTAGAAATAATAATGTAAGATTCTAGAAGTGGTATCTTTTAATCAAAGTAGAGTTAGCTGGGGACAATATTTTTTTACCCTTTCTGGCTTTTCTTGAGTTGATGTGCTTATGGTTGGTCAATATAGGTTGGAAAATGGATGACCTGACCTGACCTGACCTGACACAAGTTCAAATTGAATAATTTCATTTGGTATCATTTGTAACATTAATTTTAAATAATAAAAAAGATTAATCATTATAAATTGAACTCAATCCTTAGTCGGTCTGTCCTTCGTTAGTAGAGTGCATCATGCAAATTAATTATACGATTTGTCCTTCGTTAGCCTAGCATATTCTTGGCCCTAAGAGCTCGTCGCCTTGCCTTTATGGTGAGAAGCTCAAAAACTGAAGTGACTACAAGATTATCGTCATTTTCTAAACGAGAAAGATTAAAAGGATTAATGAGATTTGCAAATTATGACGAATTTTCTATGGTATTAAATGAAGAATTTTTTGTGTTGAATGGTGGAGGATCCATGGCTTTAACTCTGTTAGAATATTTTAACTAAAAGAGTGTTTTTTATGTGGAAACTCAATTCCACATCGACTAAACATCCAAAAAAATACTTGAGTATATATATATACTAGTGTTATCTAACCTTTGAATCAAACAGAGGTCTTAGGACTCTCACGTATATAGGGATGAGATTGGTAGTGAGTTTCCCTGGCTCGCCTAAATGAAATAAATTATTAACTAGTATTAATAATTTTCTGTCATTACTTCTATAATAAAATTACTTCTAATAATTTCTGTCATTACCTTTTAATATTTTGTTTAACTATTTTTTGTCATTACTTCTATAATAAAATTTCAATTGTTGAATACCAAGAACCTCTAACGACTAGTATTTCAATAGTCATATTTTCTGAGTTATTATCCAATTAAATATAGAAGTAATTACAGCCTATTAAACACATATATTATATATATATATATACGTATTTCCAGTATAGAGATATACAATATATATCATATCAATTTTCTTCTTACAATATAAGTTTTTGGACAATATTCCAAGGTATGTGTGAAGCTTCTACTTCATTTAATTGTGCAGATCTGAGTGAAGCAGCAGTCAATAGGATGGACGGTTGTATCTTGGGGACGACGCGTTACTACCTTCTGCACTGTAATTATTTCATAAAGGGGCGCGAATCGTCTTAAAAAAACGACCTAGTTCGCACCTCACCCTATCATTCACTTTATTTACATCTAATTTTGTCCAATAATTTAAGACGATTACGAACCCAATGGAAAATTCTGCAATTTCTACTTCTACTGTTTCATCTGTTGGATCAAACGATCTTAACAAACCGTTTAGATTTAGCGGACAGTTCTTCAAAAGATGGGCGACGAAAGTTCTGTTCTATCTCAAACTGATGAAAGTCGCATGAATTCTCACTTCAAAAAATCCAAATAAGGTGAACAAGGAAGGTACGACTGCAAAAGAGTTTGTAGAACATGAAAAGAATTTAGCACTATGAGAGACTGGCGAAGATAATTGTCGCAATTATTTGCTCAATTGTCTTTCTGATGAGGTATATGATTATTATTCCAATTCCTATTCTTCTGCCAAAAAGATTTGGAAAGCTTTGGAGGCGAAGTATGACACAGAAGAAGTAGGGACGAAAAAATAGTAGCCATTATTTTAAATTTCAGATGATGAAAAATAAATCTGTAATTGCTCAAACACATGAGTTACAAATGATTGTTCACAAAATTGTGTCTGAAGGAATCAAGGTAGATGAACAGATGCAAGTTGCAACAGTTATCGACAAATTGTCGGATTCATGGAAGGAGTATCAAAAGGGGACTTCATCACAAGTAATTTGAATTAAGCATGGTGAATCTAACGGCTCGGCTTTGAATTGAGGAAGAGGCCATAAAACAAGACAAGACCAACGACACTAACGGGAATCTCAATGGCAATGGTAATGGAAACAACAAGGTACATTTTATCACATCTAATGGTAAACATCTCTAAGGGTCAAGATAATAGAAACAGTGTCTATTTGAAGCCTAGAGGTAATAACATAAAAAAGGTTGAATAGGGCTTCAAATAAAAATCATTCTCAAAAGAAATGGAACCAAGCACCAAACCAAGGAACCCCTTCCAAACAAGTACCATATAATAAAAATAATCAGTCAAATAATGGTGCTTGTTTTGTTTGTGAAAAGTGTAGTCATTTTGTAAAAGATTGTCATGTTAGAAAACGGGGTTATGCTCCTCAAGCTAATGTGACCGATGAACCACTTCTGGCCATTATTTCTGAAGTTAATTTTGTTGAGAATAGTGAAGGGTGGTGGGCAGATTCTGGAGCTTCCAGGCATGTCTGTCAAGATAAATCTTGGTTCAAGTCTTTTTCTCCCATTGAAAATGATAAAAAAGTGTTGTTTGGTGATTCACATACTGTGAGTGTTTTGGGCATGGGAGATATCCAACTCAAATTTACCTCTGGCCGAGTTTTGGCCCTAAGAGATGTTCTTCACACTCTTGAAATCAGAAAGAATTTGGTTTCTAGTTATCTTTTAAATAAGGTTGGTCTCAAACAAATCATAGAATCTGATCAGTATGTTTTGACTAAAAATGGGTTATTTGTTGGGAAAGGTTATGCTTGTGATGGTATGTTTAAGCTGAATGTAGGAATGAATAAAACTACTTCTTCCGTTTACATTGTTTCTTGTGTGAATATGTGGCATGCTTGTCTTTGTCATGTTAATAACAAATATTTGAAAAATATGAGTCATATAGGTTTATTGCCTAAGTTACACAATAATTTTGAAAAATCTGAATATTGTAGCATGACAAAAATAAGAAAACAGTCTCATATCAAAGTAGAAAGAAATTCTAAATTATTAGAATTGATACATACGGGCATGTGTGAATTTGAAGGAATTTTGACTCGTGGGGGAAAAAGATATTTTATAATTTTCATCGATGACTTTTCAAAATACACTTATGTTTATCTTAAGAAAAATAAAAGTAATGCTTTTGAAAAACTCACCATTTTTATTAAAGAAGTAAAAAATCGTTTTCATAGAAAAATTAAATGATTTAGAAGTGATAGAAGTA